CTGTCTGTCTGACTGTCTTCTTCTTCTTCTTCTTTTTCTTCTTCTTCTTCTTCTTCTTCTCCTTCTCCTTCTCCTTCTTCTTCTTCTTCTTCTTCTTCTTCTTCTTCTTCTTCTTCTTCTTCTTCTTCTTCTTCTTCTTCTTCTCCTCCTCCTCCTCCTCCTCCCTCCCCCCCCCTCTCTCTCTCTCTCTCTCTCTCTCTCTCTCTCTCTCTCTCTCTCTCTCTCTCTCTCTCTCTCTCTCTCTCTCTCTCTCTTACTCATTATTTTCAAACCTATCTGTACCTCTAAAGGGTAACCAACAAGCGTCTTCTAACGACATGTACACAAGAATTCAACGCAAAGACAAATTTCATAAGTGGAAAAGAAGGCTTTATTTTTTTTCCCTTTATTTTGATCTTTTCATATTTGGCACGGATACATGCATTTGACACTGGAAAATTTGCTAAGAATACTGTTAAAGTAAAACCACAACTAAAACCTACTAAAAATGTATTACATCTGAGAGGATTTCATGCAAAGGAGTAAAATAAAATGAAAGAAGCAAAATGTCTTTTTAAAATCGTGAACAGGTTTCGGAGAGAACTGGTGAGGAATATATTACTACGAATGACTGGCTAGCTATGGCTGTCAAAGAAAGTAGTGCATAATAACAGAAAACTGTTTTGGATAAACTTTTCTAACGTTTAATCAGTTCTTCGTGCTAAAATAAGGCGGCCCTCGAAAATTTTCCGAAATTGACTAAACTGGGGTTTTAGTAGATACCTTTTTAATTTTTCGAAAAAGTGGCCAAATCATTTGTTACATAAGTTGACAATAAAATCCATGTTTTCGAAAATCATGTATATTTTTTAATAATCACATAATGCCCCTAATCAGTTAACCAGTTAGGCTAAAACTTAATGTTTGAGGAGGGGGGGGGGGGGGGGGTTACAGTACATATATGTATCTTTCCATATTTTGAATCATCGTCGAAAGTACTAAACAGAGTCAATATTATAATGAAACAAATTGGCTGGGGAGACATAAGGAAGAAATATGTAGACCAGAGCTTAAGTATAAATCAGTGTGTAATGAATTCAATAAACGGGGGCAAAATATAAAACGAAAAACTCGGTGTATTTCTTGTGACTTTTCTTTTTTACCTGGAGACGGGAGGGAAACCCAAGGAATGACTGCAAGCCAAAGATACAGTACAGTTCTCTCAACGGATTAACGTAAATCTACTACTAGGTGAGTGAGCAAACGGTGATGATTATAAATTTCTCCAACAGAAGGAAAACCATGAACAGCATTTCAGCATATGAAAATATGAATGAAACCAAGTGCATGGAATTTTTCTACAGCTAATCACAGCCTTAATTAATAGTTCAAACGTATCTAAGTTCTACATTCAAACACGCGTCAAAATGAAACCAAAATTAAGCAGTTAAGCAAAGACCATTCTTTCCCGTCATTAGGATATCATAAACTCTCATTTCCACTATTATCTTTATAAGCAAACACGGGGATTGGGGGGGAAAATACTTCTACGCGTCGTTATCTCCACAGGCTCGCATCCTACACACGTCATTTTGACATCTCATCAAGCATCAGAAGGTTCATAAAAACATGGGTATAACATAGTATCTACATATTTATATCACTCATTCATACCGAGTCAGTGAAAAGTGCATAGTGAAGTTACCAGAAAGTCCTGGTCATTCATTCGTGACCGGAAATTGAACAAAGTAAAGAGAACATCGGTCAAAGAGTCATAAATATAACCATTGTCGAAAACAATCTTCGATATTGCACAAAGCCATGTTGTCAAGACTGTGTAACTCCTCCACTGACGGCTTCTTATAGCAAGCGAAAAGAATCTGAGGTCGAAAATATCGGAGGTGATTTTATTTTTAATTTTTTTTTTTTTTAAATATTAAAAATGCTTGATGCTACAGCCAAGTGCAAAAAATCTGCAAAAATCGCTGAGTTCGTTACAAAGTGGCACAAATGCTAAAAACATTTATACACATTAAGGATTAGAAATAGTTCAACTTTGTACTGTTTTGATTTTGTAAAGTTGGCAAATTATGATAAAAAAATTTACATAGTAGTTGAAATAAAGAAAAGCATGTTATTTCTTCATAACTATATCATTGCACATAACTACCCCAGACCTCCGAGATCTGTCTGCATAGTGAATGTTCACAGATAAACACCGATGTAACAATACCAACAAACCAACAGTAGATCTAAGCTGGAAAAGTTTGGGTATATTATTTCTTTAAAAGTAGAACTTTGAAAGATCGTAGGTAGAGGTTTAAAAATAATTTGTACTATTTAAAAAGGAAGTCAACTATGAGTGTTACCAGTCACGCTCCATTTTGATCATTTAGTGAAACACACTTTTTACTTACTTAGGGTTCAACAGGTTGCAACTTTCACTCTTCAGTATAATGAGTGAAGCAGATGGGAGTCTAGACTCGGGGGTGGGCACGGGGGAGGGGGGGGGAAGTAGGACCAAGCACCACGGAGAAAGATGCTGTACTGTACAGGGAATCAGGAAAATTATGGGCTTTCCCATCAGAGAATCAGAGATCATTAACCAATCTCCTTATGAGGATTCACCTCCTCTCGCTGGCGCTCTAACTCGTACATACATTCAAGACATTAATAAATTACTGCACACGCACGCACTCTCTCTCTCTCTCTCTCTCTCTCTCTCTCTCTCTCTCTCTCTCTCTCTC